CGCAGGGTCAGCAGGATAAGTCAGTCCGCAGATTGGTCAAAACAAGCCGGGGGTCAGGAGAGGAGAAGGCAGAGTAGTCAGGGCAATCCGGGTCAAACACAGGAGAAGGCAGCGTAGTCAGGACAATCCGGGTCAAAGCACAGGAGAAGGAAGCGTAGTCAGGGCAATCAGGGTCAATATGCAGGTACAGGAACTCAGGATCACAGATAGACCGTGCGGCAATCTGTGACAGTGCAGGGCATCTTTAAATATTACGCCCTGCACTGTCATTGGCCGTCCAGGACGCGCCCGCGGGCTGTCATTGGCCGCCCGAGGCGTGCCCGCGGCTCCTACTGCGCATGCGCGGCATCCTGTCAGCTGCGGCCTGCCGGGACCTGGTGCTTGTGTCCCGGCGTGAGCCGCCGCTAGTGCGCGTGCACCGGGGGAGGCGACGCACTGATCCCTGACAGGTACTTGCCTGACTGCATTGTGCCAAGTGTAAAGTTTGGTGGTGGGGGGTAATCCCCCACCACCAAACTTTACACTTGACACAATGCAGAGCTTGTTTTTCAGGGGTTGGGCTTGGCTCCTTAGTTTCGCAGTGAAGGGAACTCTTAAGGCATCAGCATACCAAGACATTTTGGACTATTTCATGCTCCCAACTTTGTGTGAACAGTTTGGGAATGGCCCCTTCCTGTTTTAAAATGACTGCGCACCAGTGCACAAAGCAAAGTCCATAAAGACATGGATGAGCAAGTTTGGGGTGAAGGACCTTGATTTGCTTGCACAGAGTCCTGACCTCAACCTGATAGAACACCTTTGGGATGAATTAGAGTGGGAACTGCAAGCCAGGCCTTTTCGTCTGACATCAGTGGCTGACCTCCCAAATGCGCTTCTGGAAGAATGGTAAAACGTCCCTTTAGACACATTCCTAAACCTTGTGGACAGCCTTCCCAGAAGAACTGAAGCTGCTATAGCTACAAAGGGTGGGCTAATTCAATATTGAACCCCACAGACTAAGACTGGAATGCCATTAAAGTTGTGCGTGTAAAGGCAGGTGTCCCAATACTTTTGGCAATATAGTGTACAAGAGAATGTGTCACAAAACATTACTGCTATGACCCTTACTCTGGCCACACACTGATTAAAATTTGGTCAGTCCGAATTTCAATCAATGTCTGACTCCATCACACGTTGGAAAAATTTCCAGCAATCAGTCACTGATCAGTGTATTTTGATAGAAGCAGGTGCCTGTGTCAGAATACAATGTCATCTCCTAGATTGTAAGCTCGAAAGAGCAGGGCCCTCGAACCCCTCGTGTATCACATTGTATTGGTATTGTTCTGTCACATGTTCTGTCCCCCTTTGTAATGACAGCGCTGAGCGAACTATTGGCGCTTTATAAATACTGTATAATAATAATAATAATAATAATAATAATAAGGAAGGGGGAATCTGGGATCTGAGTAAGGGTGTGTAACGCCCTTTAGTTTAGCTAGATAGGTTTTATTCTTTTTTTTTTTTTAGCATAGAGTAGCAGTCTGTGAGTGAGGCAGGAGTTCACCTCAGGACAGACTAAGGAGGTTCTAAGATCAGAGCCCTCCCACTTCTCCAGAAACCGGAGAGCTTTCTGGACTAGGGATGGAGGATGGGAGGAAGCTTGGATTTGCATGCTTAATGGACCATGGCCAATTCCCTGGCAGGTGGCTGGACATGGTAAGCAAGGTAATCTTTAAGAATCACAGAGCCTGGGAGTGGAAAGGAGCAGTGTTGGGTGAAAGATGGAGTAAGAGTCTGGGAGGGGACCCAGGGAAGGGGCCTACCTACAGGCAGATGCTGGAGAAGAGGATCTCCACTGTACCACCATCTTCAAGGGAGGGTATCCTGAGTAGCAAGGAAGGAGACAGCCTAGAGAAAGGCCTGAAGGCACCGACCCATTAAGCTATTAGGAAGGACAGTGTTTGTACTCCTATACCCCTGGGTCACATAAGGGGAGAGGGCAGTCAGGTGGAAAACTCATCTAGCTTCTCATCTGGGGCTGCTGTGCTAAATTGGCAGTTTTTGGGCCCCCTTGCCCAGGGAATACACTCAGTACAGCTGCGTGAAGAGGAAGATTCAACTGGGGTCTGAGGAGGTACACCAGAGAGCTGGAATGCTCTCAGAGGACAGACTATTTTGTCCATATCTGTACATAGTTGCTAAGGAGTTTGTCCACAAGTTTGCAGTTCCCATGGGCATCTCATACAGCCCTCAACCCTGTCAGTTATCAACCCCTTAATAAAAATCACAAAACCAAGCTCAAGGACTATTTACTGACTCTGTATGCAATGTGTGAAAGAAAATGCATGTTGCCTGGCTCTGCAGAGCTGTACAGGGACCCAAAACTCATTGACTCCTAAAAGGAATAGTGCTAAAGGTGAAAAATCAACTAACCATGTATGGCCAGCCTTAGAAATAGGCTCCAGAGATGCAGGAAGAATGTACAGATAAACCAATAGATGGCAATATTTGTGTTCTATAGCACCAACCAAGGTTCTCAGCACACGTACCTTAGAGTGGAGTTTCTGAAAAGTTCAGTGAAGATTTCTGCTTGGCATAGCCAATTGGTATCAAAGTTTAAAATGTATTCAGATCATCAATATTGTATAATACGAAAAAGAACTAGAGTAATTCTTTTCTAATCATTAACAAATGAATTGATTGGAAGAATTTAAATTGTAAGGCAAAGGCAAACTTTTATTTTTCTTTAATAACCACTTGCCTACCGGGCACTTTTACCCCCTTTCTGCCCAGGCTAATTTTCAGTTTTCAGCGCTGTTGCATTCTGAATGACAATTGCGCAGTCATGCAACACTGTACCCAAACACAATTTTTATCTTTTTTTTAGACATATAGAGATTTCTTTTGGTGATATTTAATCATGACTGGGTTTTTTTATTTTTTGCTAAACAAACTAAAAATCCCTGAAAATTTGGAATAAAAAACACTTTTTTCTTAGTTTGTGTTATAAGATTTTGTAAATAAGTAATTTTTCTTCTTCACTGATGTGTGCTAATGAGGCTGCAGTGATGGGCACTGATAGGCTGCACTGATGGACACTGATAGGAGGCACTGATGAGGAGGCACTGATGGGCATTGACAGGCATCACTGGTGGGCATTGATAGGCATCACTGATGGGCACTGAAAGGCAGCACTCGTATATGGCACTGATAGGTGGCACTGACTGGTACTGATAGGCGGCACTGATTGGAACTGTTAGGTGGCACTGATGGCCACTGATAGGCAGCACTGACAGGCCCTGATAGGCAGCACTGGCTGGCACTGATAGGTGCCACTGATTGGTGGCACTTATCGGTGTCACTGACTGGCACTGTAAGGCAGCTCTGATGGGCACTGATATGTGACATTGATGTGCACTGATAGGCACTGATATGTGGAATTGATGTGCACTGATGGGAACTGGTATGTGGCATTGATGGGCACTGACAGGTGGCATTGATGGGCACTGACAGGTGGCACTGATGGGGCTACACTGATCAGCAGGGCACTGATCATCAGTGCCCTTATGATCAGTGTAGATGTCCCCTTTGAGGAATGCCGCTTACCGGTTCTCTTCTTCTCATGTGCTGTCAGAGTGAGGAGAGGACTGCCAATAACTGGCATTTCCTGTTTAAATTTGATCAGCTGTGATTGGCAGATGTGATGTGATTGTGATGACAGAGCCTGTGTCATTGGCTCTTCACTGTGATCAGTGATCTGATGTGTCCCAGGGACACAGCGGGTCCCCAATTACTGTGGGCGCTCATGCACAGTTAGAGTGGGAGGACATCATATGACATCCTCCTAGAACACGAGAGCCGCCGCTCACCCATCATTTACTTATATGGCAAGTGGGAGACGGTTAAATAAAGTGGGGAAGGGTTAGACCCTCTGCTATTTATTTTTTTTGTCCGTGTCCCCACTGAGAAGTATTACCCCTCTATTTGTACCGTTGGCCACCGTCATCAAAACAAAAAAGTGAGGGAAAATCCTACATTTTAGTGTTGTCAAGTGAGCAAGCTCTGAGAGTAAATGAGGACAAATGTTCTGGTGACAACTAAGATGGGGATATCCCCAATTGGGGAGGTTTCCTCTCATTTCCTGTTATGTCTCCAAGACAGGAAGGTAAGGCAAATCTTAGAAGGAAACATATATCAAAAATATTCAGATAGGGGGGATAGAACCATTCAAAACGAGTAGAAAAAGTTTCGGATATTACATACACTTTTATTCCCAACTCGAGACAATAGACACAAGAAACCCTCCACCTGCGATTCACTATTCTTTAAAACACTCCAAAGGAGTTTTTCACTTATCTGAATTTGTCATCGTATGACCCTTGGCAGCACCATTGCTGGGAATGAAAAACAGTAGTCCATTGTTGAAGTCCATCTGCACCAGTTTTATTGTCGTTTTTCTTTGTGTCATTATCATTGTGTTGTGGTCTTCAGGACCCTGAAAATTAACAGCCAATAGGAAGTGTCCTTGTCACCCAAAGAAATACCATGTACTTTATAACCCAGAAGACAGTTGATCTCAAAATTATAAATGTGCAAATATCATGGAGTATGAGATGTAACAATTTAAGCGCTTCGGTGCCACCCAAAAGCAGAAATACTGCTACAGAGCGGCACGGGTGCGCAAAATCACGTATATATACGTGAGTTTGCAGTTCCAGTGTTAGGGATCCGGGTATGACCAGAAATGTGTGGGAACACAGGCATAGTCAGGGCTGGAGAGGTGGAATGGTCAGGCAGGCCGTTAGGTACTGTACAGGGCGCGGGGTCTAAGTCTTAATCTGCTTATTCACCAGGGCTCCTGATGGTGGGGACGGACTTGGAGCAGACTGAGACCAGGTCGCGACCCCTGAGTACGTCCGGCAATGGTAAAGAGCGTCATCAAAGGAGCCTGACGTGAAGAGGCTGGCAGACCTGGTAACAGGGACAGATCCGTGTGGGATGGATGGATCGTCTGGGTAGCGTCAGGCAGGCCAGGTCAGCAACGTGCGGGAAGCGAGGTACCGGAGGAGCAGGCAGAGAATAGTCAGGGTCACAAGCCGGGTTCAGTAACTCACGGGCAGCACGGTACAGAGGATCAGGCAGAAGGATGGTCAGGCAAGCCAGGGGTTAAACAGGAGTTGGTCAGCAGAGGTCAGGATCAAAGCAGGGTCAGCAACTAGGCAGATAGCAGGAACACAGGATACCAAGTACAGGGGCTCATGGGAAACAATACACCAAGGCCCTGACTGCAGGTCTGGCCATTCCTTAAATACACCTCCTGCAATCAGCCTCAGGTGATGGCTGACTGCAGGAGTGAGCTTCTGGTTGCTGAGAGCACCCGCTGGCCAGCCCTGGTACTGCAGCCCACACGGCAAGTGAGTCCCACCACCAGTGGTGAATCCATTCCTGACATCCAGGTAGGGGGCATGCGCACGCCCTACCTGCACCACCATTCGTGGCCTCGGCTGTCAATCACCGGGTCCCGGCCAGTGATTCCCCACCAGCACCCGGTGATCTCCAAGGATTTCTGCCGGGGGGAGAGACCTGTATGTAAACAATACAGATCTCTCCCCTGTCAGCTCCTGCACACTGCTGTGTATGGGTCTGCATAGCCGAGCCATACACAGCAGTGTGCTTACAGTGAAACACACACACGGCCCACATTATAAAACCGCATACAGCACACAGTTAACACTTTGATTGCCCCACATGTTAACCCCTTCCTGCCCAGTGCTATTAATACAGTGTCAGTGCTTTTTATTAGCACGGATCACTGTATTAGTGTCACTGGGGATGTCAGTGACACCAAGTTAGTTCCCCCCAGTGTCAGAATACCCACTGCAGTCCCGCTATAAGTTGCTGATCGCCGACATTGCTAGTAAAAAAAAAAATTAAAACAAATTCCAGTATATATACTGCCAGTTTTAAACAAAATAACTTTCACGTAAATCAAGTAATTTACACATATTGGGATTTTTTATAGCAAAGACATGTAGCAGAATACATTTTGGCCTAAATTTATGAAGAAATTTGATTTTTTTTATTTTTTTACTGGACATGCTTAATAGCAAAAAAGTAAAAAATAAAGAGTTTTTTTCAAAATTGTCAGTCTTTTTTTGTTTATACTGCAAAAAATAAAAACTGCACAGGCAATCAAATACCATTAAAAGAAAGTTCTATTTGTGGAGTAAAAAGGACTTAAATTTCATTTAGGTGAAGCGTTGCATGACCACACAATTGTCAGTTAAAGTAACGCAGCACAGTATCGCAAAAAATGGCCTGGTCAGGAAGGGGTGTAAATCCTCTGGAGGGCAAGTGGTTAATATAATGGACTGTAATAAAAAATGTTTTCTTACCTATATACTAGTGGCTGTTGTACCCTTCAAAGTAGTCCCCTTGTGTAGCAATGCACTTTTCTAAATATTTGTGCCACTGCAAGAAGCATTCCTGGAATATGTTTTCCGGAACGCTGCGCAATATCTTTGTGGCGGCAAGCTGAATATCCGGAATGTCATCAAATCTATGTCCTTTTAAGGCATTTTTTTATTTTGGAAGTGGCTAAATGTCACAGGTTTCTAAGTCAGGGAAATATGCATACGCATGGTGGAGAATCCACTTGTCAGCCCAGAATTCAGGTCTTTTCTTCTGAACATTATTTAAATATATATATATCACCTAACCCCAAGAACCCCTCAAAAAGTCACGCTTTCTCCCCAGAAAGCAACAATATTACAACCTTTTTGGAATTAAATAAACAAATTCAAATAAATGAATATAATAATAAAGTACAAAAAATTGAAAAATAATCATAAAATTCAAAAAAATACAAAATAAAAAAAAATAAATAAAAAAAAGTCCAAAGCAAAGTGTCCCAAAATGTCCCAATACAAACACAAATAGTGTCAAACAGAAATGGTGTCCGAAAATTGTCCAAATATCCAAATTTTATCCAGTCAGAAGAAATTCCCTTTCATCCCGTAATACCTCGAAAAAAACAAAATCAGAAATCTAGTGCATTACCTTTTATAAAAATAATATATTCCCTCCGTGCAAAAATACAACACACAAAAACACAAAAAGTGTGCAAACACTATATATGTGTATTTTTCCGTGCACTTGTGAATGAATTGTGACCACTCAGTGAACACTGCAACACTGTGTATCCACCAGCACCAATAGTACTAGATACTATTACCCTCTGTATCCATATACCAGCATCCACATGAGATCTTCTAAATGCTCCAATGAAATTATTCCAAGGTCCTCAAAAGACAAGAAGGGTCTCAAGGCTCATATTCAAAGTGTATTAAAAAAATTTAATGAGAACTTACATTAAAATTTCCTTATTTCGGCTTCCAACATGCTTCCTGTGTGAGTCCTAACAAACAGATGCAATATGCCATGTGTTGATAACCCACAAAATGGCCGCGGCGACACTTCCGGTCTGCGTGCGTGCGTCACTACGTCACACCCTTAACGCGTTTCGTCACTTCCGGACTTCGTGATCCCTTCAGACGAAGTCCGGAAGTGACGAAACGCGTTAAGGGTGTGACGTAGTGACGCACGCACGCAGACCGGAAGTGTCGCCGTGGCCATTTTGTGGGTTATCAACACATGGCATATTGCATCTGTTTGTTAGGACTCACACAGGAAGCATGTTGGAAGCCGAAATAAGGAAATTTTAATGTAAGTTCTCATTAAATTTTTTTAATACACTTTGAATATGAGCCTTGAGACCCTTCTTGTCTTTTGAGGACCTTGGAATAATTTCATTGGAGCATTTAGAAGATCTCATGTGGATGCTGGTATATGGATACAGAGGGTAATAGTATCTAGTACTATTGGTGCTGGTGGATACACAGTGTTGCAGTGTTCACTGAGTGGTCACAATTCATTCACAAGTGCACGGAAAAATACACATATATAGTGTTTGCACACTTTTTGTGTTTTTGTGTTGTATTTTTGCACGGAGGGAATATATTATTTTTATAAAAGGTAATGCACTAGATTTCTGATTTTGTTTTTTTCGAGGTATTACGGGATGAAAGGGAATTTCTTCTGACTGGATAAAATTTGGATATTTGGACAATTTTCGGACACCATTTCTGTTTGACACTATTTGTGTTTGTATTGGGACATTTTGGGACACTTTGCTTTGGACTTTTTTTATTTATTTTTTTTATTTTGTATTTTCTTCTGAACAGATTCCCATAACCTTCTCAGAATTTCCAAGTAACAATGTTCGTTGACTGTTGTACCATGTGTTGCAAAAACTGCGCAAAACACAGTGAAGTAAGCAGTTCAACCATTTTGTAGGCACCTCCATCTTGGTACGGAGTATATATTGTGTCTCTCATTTCTCATTCTCCTTCCCCCTCCCTTCCTGAGAGGCACAGTGACAGATGTGTGTGTGTTAAAAGTGTCACTGGCAGGTAGAGCAGCAGGGGGCCCAGGGCTACAAAGCCCCCCAGGAGAGACAGAGACTAGCTGCCCAAGGACATGTGTAATTTCTCACTTCGTAACCTAGATAAGGCAGCTTTTCCCAGGAGTTGAGGAGATTGTAACCACATAAGACCTAGCAGCTTAGGTGTCAGGGACCATCGCGACGCATGGGTCTGCACATGCGTAGGTGTCTGTCAAGACATGCAGGCAGCAGGGCACTAGGACCCAGGCGCACCTGTCACCTATGACGGTGCTGGGCAGGCACTAGGACCTAGGCTGCGCCTGTCAGGTGCAGGGCGGGCTACTTAAACCAGCCCTGCACAGACACAAGTTGCCGTATGGTCTGATTTTGTTCCTGTGTTCCTGTATTCCCGTTGTTTGAGATTCGTTGCTGACCTGCCTGGACCTGACCCCTGCTGACTTCTCCTGCTCTGACCCCTGACTAAGTTTGACCTCTCCTTTGGATATTCCTACCTGATCTGAACTACTGGTACCGACCCCGGCGAGTGACCTGACTATTCTTCTGCCTGCTGCCTTGTACTACGCTGACCCCTCTGTTACCGACCTGGCCTGTTTGACCACGCTATTGCTCAGCCATCCATCCGACCCGCACGGATTAACTGCTACTCTCCAGACCTGTCTGCCTCTTCACGTCAGGCTCTCTACCTGTCATTACCTCTGGTGATTCCTCTACCTCAGGTGGGTGTACTCAGGGGCCGCGACCTGGTCACTGTCTGCTCCAAGCCGATCCCCACCATCAGGGGCTCTGGTGAACTGGGGCTTAGACTCCGCATCCTGGGGAATCCTGTCCTGTGGACTGCTAGAGTACACCAGGTGGTCCTTAACATTAGGTGACAGAATTAAATGAGCATTCCTCAGGTCAGTTTGTCCCCTATGTTTCATATCATGGATTATGAAGATGTTGGTTCTAATTCAGAGTTCGCCCGACGATCCCTCCCTAAACAGAGTATTGGTCAGTTACTCAGAGCCACCCCCCTGCTGGGGGACTTTAAAACACAGGCTAGCAGGCCTAAAAAGTGAAGTTGAAGACTTCTCCCATTTTTTCCATCGTAACAGTGGGAGATCAAAGCACCATTCTGCTCTGCAACTTGGATCTGCTTACATCAAAGGCTTAAATGGCAAGTAACTTAACCCTTTAACTTCCTTCCTATTATCTCTCTGCTGTGCTATGGTTCTTTGTGTGTGTATATATATATATATATATATATATATATATATATCTTAGTTACATATTTTTCTGTAAATATTTTATTGCATCTGTTTGACTCTTTTAGTAATAAATCTTTCTCTCTGAAAGTGTTAAACTGTTTCTAAAGCGTTTAATTGCAATTTATGAATTCCTGCCTCTAAAGAGACGCTACTGTGTTTATTTAATCCTCTGCCCAATTGGCCTGCGGTGACCGTATTGGACAGACGACTTTTCAACCATTACAGTGTATATGTGATAAAGAGAGTTTCCCCTTTCTCTGTCCAAAAAGGGGTGGTGGCAGTGAAGGGTTAGTTGCGTAATTAACCCAACCCAGTAACAATCGCTCAGGTTGATGGCACATGGATCGGTTGACCATTAGCTGGAAAATCGCTGTGTAGGGTGCAGCTGGGTGTGGCATTGTTACGCACGTCACATCGCGGTTTTAGATCGGCCTGTCCGTCGGTCACGAATTTGGTGAGAAGGTCTGGGGTCTGACGCCGCGATCGTGACACCATGTTCTATGAACTCATAGTGAACTATACCCTTGGGATTAAAAAAAACACAACAGCATGGATTTGAACTGAAAATGAGGTATGCCTGCTTTCTTTGGGTAAGGTGTGTGACGATTGCGGCATCAGACCCCAGCCCTTCTCACCAAACTCGTGACCGAAGGACTAGCCAATCTAAAACCGTGCTGTCACGTGCGTAACAATGCCACGCCCAGCTGCACTCTGCACAAAGTTTTTCCAGCTAATGGATCACAATCTGTGTATCAGCAGCCTGGGAGCGATTGTTACTGGGTCAGGTTAATTACGCAATTAACCCTTCACACTGCCACCACCTCCTTTTTGTACAGAGAAAGAGGAAACTCTGCAATATCAGCAATAACACTATGTTTGCATAAGCATCGGTATACCACTGTCACCGCAGGCAGAGATATACCGAAGTTTAAAACACACGCACAGTAGCGCTCTTCAGAGGCAGGGGTTCTTAGTTTGCATTAAAGAGCTTTAGAAACAGTTCAACACTTTCAGAAAGTAAGATTTATTACTAAAAGGTCAAACAGGTGCAATAAAAATATTTACAGAAAAAGATATAGCCTATATATATATACACAAAGAGCAATAGCACAGCAAAGAGATAACAGAAAGACGTTAAGAGGGATAAAGTACTTGCCGTCAGCCTTGGTTTAAGCGGATCAGGTTTCAGAGCCGAAAGGATGCCTTATCTCCCAAAGTTAGTTCTGATGTTAAAAAGGAGAATCTTCAACTTCGCTCAACTCAGCTTAGCTCAGCTTTTTCTTGGAACTCAGCAGGATGTCTCCTTAAAGCAGAGAACCAATCGCCTCATTTGGGGGGAGGGAGGTGTGTAGGCGGGGACCCAAGTAGATTAATACGTAGAATCATTGGCTGAATGTCTACATATGAAATATGACATACCTGTTGTGATGGTTAAGGAGATATCATTTTCTGCTTTCCTGTATATGACAGGGCGTGTAATATATCAGACGACTTGTATTAAAGTGACCGATCTGAATATATGCCTGATTTTTAGGTAAGTCTCTCATATTCCAAGATATGTAATCATAGGGGAAAGTGGGTCTTGAATGTGACGTCTGCTTTATGGCTTTTCTGGAATGTCTTTGAACTCAGTGAAGGACTTGGTTTATGGCTTTACGATATCCCAGATTGCAAAGCTAACAGGCATCTAGGCACCAGTTTGGCTGGGGTTTTATAGCTCTGGAGCTCTCCAGCTGTGCCTTGATTGCCTGTGACCTCTGTCATCATCCAGACCACATGTCACTCAACAGAGGTTGGGGGGATGAGGGAAGCTGATTTAGGAGTGAGAGATACAAGATGGAGGGGTTTGGAGCAAAATGGATGACCGCATCCATCTCTGTGCGCATGATTGCTACAAGGTGAATTCTTTGTTTTCCACTGCATGCTCTGGCGTTTTGTTTCCGAATCATACTGGAACCACCATGTTTCATCACCAGTATTAACCCTATCAAACACCTCCACATTTTTCAAAAGATCAGATGAAATTTGAAGACTACGTTCTTTCTGATCTTCTGTCCAGCTTTGAGGCACCATCTTTGCCAAAATCTTTCTCATTCCCAAATACTCCATTTGATCCTGCTGCACTGCTTCCCTGTTCATGCTCAATGCTTCTGCCATCATTCGCACACTCAGTCTTCCATCTGAGTGTATGAGGGTTCACACTCTGTCCACATTTGCATTAGTTCTTTGCGTTTTTGGCTGGCCACTTCTTGTGTTGTCATGGACATCTTCCTGCCCATCCTTAAACTTCCTATGTTATTCTTAGGCAGTATGCAGTGACCATATTAGTAAATGCTGGAAACTTCTATTTGATAGATGTTGGATTGAAATAAATTACTACACCATGAGAGGTTTGTCTGGCTCCAGTTAGTGAAATTTTCCCTCAGTATAGTTGCAGTACCTGCCTGTCTGCTCTGGGTGGTGGTGTTACATTTGGTGAAGGGTTGCCTTAAAGAGACCGATACCTGGGAAAAAGTGAAGCCTACCTAATCTGATGAGTGCGGAGTGTTGGTGACGGTATTTGCACAGTGTATGCACAAAACCATTTATTGATTTGCATATTAATGGTGGAAATTCCGTAAAAAGATTTATATGAACTAGTGGAAATTTGTTATCATTATTTATATGTGGATGAATGGACTTCACCAAATTGAATTGATGAATTGCATTATATTCTGATGTACTGCACTATCTATATATTTTTGGATGTTTTGCACTTTTTTTGATGAATTGCAAATTATATGTATATATTTTACATTTTTGGTATTTTTATGTTAGGCACTGCACTTTATGTTTATTACTCTGGGAATTAAATTGTCACACCTTGTACTTGAGATGAGGAGGCCAACTTCTTTAGTACACGTAGTACAGTACGTACATGCATACATGAGTGACTTTAGTTTGCAGACAGTGACAATACAAAGAAAATAAATCCAAAAAAAATGAAATATCTGTTTTTAAAATGTAAGTAACCCCGACCTGGCCTAAAAACATTTTCAGGTTAACAAAAGAACTGCAGAGCAACTACAGTATGTGTTTTAGTCTTCAAATTGATCCTTGTGTCCTTGGGGTACCCCTTGTATCCTAGACCCAGACTGTCAAAGGGACCTAATTTTTATCAAAGTCAATATTAAACTACGTTTGTGTTATTTAACTGTAGGTAGGCAGCAAATTGTCTAGCATTTGACATTAAAAACATACCTAAACCCCAAAACAAATGTAAAAAACTGTTATAGTATGGCTAGCTAGTTCTTAGATGTCATGACAGTATTAGTTTTTTTTTTTAGGCTGTGTGAGGTGCAAACATACTGAGGAGGTGTTTAAACCTTACTCCCATGAGATGTACACTAAAATAAACAGGAAACACCTCAAAGAAAGAAGCCATTGACCAGTCACGTTGATGGCATCAGGACCAGGGATGCTGATATACTTGTATAATACCATAAATGTGCAGAGCTAGGTGTGTAAACATTTTTGCATATGTCAGAAATAAACAGGCTGATTCACTCCAAACAAGTTTTGATTGGCTGGTTGGGTTATTGAATGGTGAAGTGGTCAAAAAGACCATATATCAGTTCATCCCAAAACAGTGCAGAATGTGCAGCAGGTTCTAAAACCAGGAATAACAATGCTCCAGCAAAACCCTTAGGGTGATAATATTACTTCTTTATTAACATAGCAGGCAAGTATGCTACTTATTAGGCTAATCGTTTTAGTAGGGAATTTAATCACATTCCACATTGTCCTACAACATTAAAGTACCTCCTGTAACCTCCAAGATTGACTCACTGTCCAATGACATTGGACTTATCCGTCATGATCTGGAGAAATATTGCTCTTGGCTTACTGAGGCAGAATCTCGTCTATCCCAGATGGAGAATACGGTCCAGACAGACTCTAGAGAGACCAAAGCTCTTCAGCGGCATGAAAAGGCGCTCCAAGAAAAAACTATTGGTATGGAAAATAGGTTCTGCCAGAACAACCTTATAGGCCTTTCAGAGAGGGCTGAGGGCACAAAACCTGTGGAGTTTGCTGAGCAATTTCTACCCAAAAATAGACAACGTTGTCTAATTCACATGTCCAACTTCTGTTGGACAGGGAGCTGTACGCTGGGCCAAAAGTTGATTTTCAGCCCATGTGTACTCAGCTTTAAGCTCTATTAGATGCATTCTGATTTTTGGCTATATATGGCTATTGTTTGTCTTTCACAGTCTGTTTATACACTGCTCCAAAAAAAAATTAAAGGAACACTTTTTAATCAGAGTATAGCATCACGTCAATTACTCCTGGGATATTGATCTGGTCAGTTAAGTAGCAGAGGGGGTTGGTAATCAGTTTCATCTGCTTTGGTGTTAATGAAATTACCAACAGGTGCACTACATGGGCAACAATGAGATGACCCCCAAAACAAAAATGGTTTTACGGGTGGAGGTCACTGACATTTTTTTCCCTACTTGCTGATTGTTTTTTTCACTAGTTTTGCTTTTGGCTAGGGTCAGTGTCACTACTGGTAGCATGGGGCGATACCTGGACCCTATAGAGGTTGCACAAGCAGTCTAACTCTTCCAGCATGGCACATCAATACATGCCATTGCCAGAAGGTTTGCTGTCTCCCAGCAAAGTCTCAAGAGCATGGAGGAGATTCCAGGAGACAGGCAGTTACTCTAGGAGAGCTGGAAAGGGTCGTAGAAGGTCATAAACCCATCAGCAGGACCGGTATCTGTGTTAGGGATCCGGGTATGACCAGAAATGTGTGGACTGACACAGGGAAGTAGCAGGCTTCAGGAACACAGGCGTAGTCAGGCTGGAGAGGTGGAATGGTCAGGCAGGCCGTAAGGTACTGTCAGGCACTGCCTGGCGGGATCTCTAGTGACCCACAGAACAGGATTCCCCAGGGTGCGGAGTCTAAGCCCTAGTCTGCCTTTTCACCAGAGCCCCTGATGGTGGGGATGGACTTGGCGCAGGACTGAGACCAGGTCACGGCCCCTGAGTTCACCCAACTGTGGTAGAGGGGTCCGCCGAGGGTATGTACCGGGGGAAAGCCTGATGTGAAGGGGCTGGCAGGTTTGGACAGTACTGACTGGATCCGTGCGGGATGGATGGATCATCTGGGTAGCGTCAGGCATAGTCAGGCAGGCCAGGTCAGCAACGTGCGGGCAGTGAGGTACCGGAGGAGCAGGCAGGGAATAGTCAGGGTCACGAGCTGGGTTCAGTAACTCACGGGCAGCACGGTACAGAGGATCAGGCAGAAGGATGGTTAGGCAAGCCAGGGGTTCAACAGGAGACGGTCAGCAGAGGTCAGCATCAAAGCAGGGTCAGCAACTAGGCAGGAACACAGGATACCAGGTACAGGGGCTCATGGGAAACATACATCAAGGCACTGATCACAGGCCTGGTCATTCCTTAAATACACCTCCTGCAATCAGCCCCAGGTGTTGGCTGACTGCAGGAGTGAGCTTCTGGCTGCTGAGAGCACCCGCTGGTCAGCCCTGGTACTGCAGCCCACATGGCAGGTGAGTCCCACCACCAGTGCTGAGTCCATTCCTGACAGTACCCCCCCTCAAGGAGCGGCCTCAGGACGCTCCAAACAGTCCTTAGTGGGCAAAATGTTCCACCGCCTGGGTCAGGTAACTGGCTGGATATCTTACTGCCGGAGTCAACCGGCTGGCTGGGTTTCCTGCTGCCAGACTTCTCTTTATGTAGGGGAACCCAGGAAGGCAGGTCGCTGGACACAGGATTTCCAGGAGCAGGCTGGGAATCAGTTATTGGCCAGTTTAGCTGGACATCAGGGGCTGGCACATCAGGCTGCGCAGCAGACAGAGGCACATCGGGCTGCGCAACAGGCAGAGGCACGTCAGGCTGGGCAGCGGGCAGAGGCACAACAGTGGGCACCGAGTCATCTGGCACGACAGCGGGCACCGAGTCATCTGGCACGACAGCGGGCACCGAGTCATCTAGCAGAACCACGGGCACCGGGTAACCAAGCTCGACAGCGGGCACCGAGTCATCTGGCACGACAGCGGGCACCTAGTCACCGGGCAAGTCAGCGGGCACCGAGTCACCGGGCAAGTCAGCGGGCACCGGGTCACCAAGCTCAACAGCAGGCACCGAGTCATCTGGCAGAACAGCGGGCACCGAGTCATCTGGCAGAACAGCGGGCAATGAGTCATCTGGCAGAACAGCGGGCACCGAGTCATCTGGCAGAACAGCGGGCACCGAGTCATCTGGCAGAACAGTGGGCAATGAGTCATCTGGCAGAACAGTGGGCAATGAGTCATCTGGCAGAACAGCAGGCAATGAGTCATCTGGCAGAACAGCAGGCAATGAGTCATCTGGCAGAACAGCGGGCACCGAGTCATCTGGCAGAACAGCGGGTACCGAGTCATCTGGCACGACAGCGGGCACCGAGTCATCTGGCACGACAGCGGGCACCAAGTCATCTAGCAGAACCACGGGCACCGGGTAACCAAGCTCGACAGCGGGCACCGAGTCATCTGGCACGACAGCGGGCACCTAGTCACCGGGCAAGTCAGCGGGCACCGAGTCACCGGGCAAGTCAGCGGGCACCGGGTCACCAAGCTCAACAGCGGGCACCGAGTCATCTGGCAGAACAGCGGGCACCGAGTCATCTGGCAGAACAGCGGGCAATGAGTCATCTGGCAGAACAGCGGGCACCGAGTCATCTGGCAGAACAGCGGGCACCGAGTCATCTGGCAGAACAGCGGGCACCGAGTCATCTGGCAGAACAGCGGGAACGAGTCATCTGGCAGAACAGCGGGCACCGAGTCATCTGGCAGAACAGCGGGCAATGAGTCATCTGGCAGAACAGCGGGCACCGAGTCATCTGGCAGAACAGCGGGCACCGAGTCATCTGGCAGAACAGCGGGCACAGAGTCATCTGGCAGAACAGCGGGCACAGAGTCATCTGGCAGAACAGCGGGCAATGAGTCATCTGGCAGAACAGCGGGCAATGAGTCATCTGGTAGAACAGTGGGCAATGAGTCATCTGGCAGAACAGCGGGCAACGAGTCATCTGGTAGAACAGTGGGCACCGGATCACCAAGCTCAACAGCGGGCAACGAGTCATCTGGCAGAACAGCGGGCAACGAGTCATCTGGCAGAACAGCGGGCACCGGGTCACCAAGCTCAACAGCGGGCAACGAGTCATCTGGCAGAACAGCGGGCACCGAGTCATCTGGCAGAACAGCGGCACCGAGTCATCTGACAGAACAGCGGGCACCGAGTCATCTGGCACGACAGCGGGCACTGAGTCGTCTGGCATGACAGCGGGCACCGGGTCACCAAGCTCAACAGCGGGCACCGAGTCATCTGGCAGAACAGTGGGCAACGAGTCATCTGGCAAAACAGTGGGCAACGAGTCATCTGGCAGAACAGCGGGAACGAGTCATCTGGCAGAACAGCGGGCACCGAGTCATCTGGCAGAACAGCGGGCACCGAGTCATCTGGCAGAACAGCGGGCACCGGGTCACCAAGCTCAACACTTGGCAACGAGTCATCCAGCAGAACAGCGGGCAACGAGTCATCTGGCAGAACAGCGGGCACCGAGTCATCTGGCAGAACAGCGGGCACCGGGTCACCAAGCTCAACACTTGGCAACGAGTCATCCAGCAGAACAGCGGGCAACGAGTCATCTGGCAGAACAGGGGGCACCGGGTCACCAAGCTCAACAGCGGGCAACGAGTCATCTGGCAGAACAGTGGGCAACGAGTCATCTGGCAGAACAGCGGGCACCGAGTCATCTGGCAGAACAGCGGGCACCGAGTCATCCGGCAGAACAGCGGGCACCGGGTCACCAAGCTCAACACTTGGCAACGAGTCATCCAGCAGAACAGCGGGCAACGAGTCATCTGGCAGAACAGCGGGCACCGAGTCATCTGGCAGAACAGCGGGCACCGGGTCACCAAGCTCAACACTTGGCAACGAGTCATCCAGCAGAACAGCGGGCAACGAGTCATCTGGCAGAACAGGGGGCACCGGGTCACCAAGCTCAACAGCGGGCAACGAGTCATCTGGCAGAACAGTGGGCAACGAGTCATCTGGCAGAACAGCGGGCACCGAGTCATCTGGCAGAACAGCGGGCACCGAGTCATCCGGCAGAACAGCGGGCACCGGGTCACCAAGCTCAACAGCGGGCAACGAGTCATCTGGCAGAACAGCGGGCAACGAGTCATCTGGCAGAACAGCGGGCAACGAGTCATCTGGCACAACAGCGGGCACCGAGTCATCTGGCACGACAACGGGCACCGAGTCATCTGGCACGACAGCGGGCACCGAGTCATTGGGCTGGATCGGGTCATCAGGCCGGGTAGGATCATCCGGCTGGGTAGCGTACACTGGGTCATCGGGCATCCGTGCATCAGGCTGAACAGAAGGCAGGTTCTCAGACCGCAGGCTGACTGGTTTGGATACTGGCAGGATGGTACTGGTTGGAAAGAATTTCCGCTTCTTCCTGGTTTTAGTTACTGAAGCACTGTAAGTAAACGCAGGTCTGTAAACAGATGGAGCAGCTGCAGACAGAGAAGAGCTGGAGGATGGAACAGAGGAAGGAGCAGTTGCTACAGAGGGCTTCTTTACAAGATTAAATGCAGGATAGGTGCAGCGAGTGGGAACAGGGTACTGACATGTGGTTGATAGCAGGGTATACTGGGCTGGAACTGGAGGTGCTGTCGGGAATGCAGGAATAGAGCTTTGCAGAAATAGATTAGAAGCAGGACTGGGTTGTTGCAAGCTGACTGAGGCTGGGGGTAACAAATCTGACCATATCTGTAATACCGGTTGAACAAAACTCAGCTTACACATAACCTGTCTGACCAAAGACTGCACTGCGTTTATGCAATCCACAAGCACATGTGATGGACAAGCTGCATAATGCTCATGGAAGCAATCTGGATCATCCTCCTACAACCATACCAGTGATTCCACTTGATCTGCACTAAATGGGGGAAAAAAGTCATCCCTGCTTTCAGGAGTACTGGATAGAGCCAACTCAGCACAAACCTGGATCAATGGTTGTACCTCAGAAAACTCCATGCCCCGATCCACTAGTGAATGAGCAACCCGCATGTACTCTAGCAGCTGATCCCTGGCATACTTCTTCAGAATCTGATAGCCGTATACTCTGTCTTCCAAGACTAGCAGAGACAAGTACTCAACCTCCTTAGGATGCATCCTCCACAAACAACAAGCCAAGATGGCTTCCCTGTGTGGCCACTTCTGGTCAGGATTGGCCTTGGTGTTTTGTTAGGGATCCGGGTATGACCAGAAATGTGTGGACTGACACAGGGAAGTAGCAGGCTTCAGGAACACAGGCGTAGTCAGGCTGGAGAGGTGGAATGGTCAGGCAGGCCGTAAGGTACTGTCAGGCACCGCCCGGCGGGATCTCTAGTGACCCACAGAACAGGATTCCCCAGGGCGCGGAGTCTAAGCCCTAGTCTGCCTTTTCACCAGAGCCCCTGATGGTGGGGATGGACTTGGCGCAGGACTGAGACCAGGTCACGGCCCCTGAGTGCACCCAACTGTGGTAGAGGGGTCCGCCGAGGGTATGTACCGGGGGAAAGCCTGATGTGAAGGGGCTGGCAGGTTTGGACAATAGTGACTGGATCCGTGTGGGATGGATGGATCGTCTGGGTAGCATCAGGTGTAGTCAGGCAGGCCAGGTCAGCAACGTGCGGACAGTGAGGTACCGGAGGAGCAGGCAGAGAATATTCAGGGTCACAAGCTGGGTTCAGTAACTCACGGGCAGCACGGTACAGAGGATCAGGCAGAAGGATGGTCAGGCAAGCCAGGGGTTCAACAGGAGACGGTCAGCAGAGGTCAGCATCAAAGCAGGGTCAGCGACTAGGCAGGAACACAGGATACCAGGTACAGGGGCTCATGGGAAACATACACCAAGGCACTGATCACAGGCCTGGTCATTCCTTAAATACACCTCCTGCAATCAGCCCCAGGTGTTGGCTGACTGCAGGAGTGAGCTTCTGGCTGCTGAGAGCACCCGCTGGTCAGCCCAGGTACTGCAGCCCACACGGCAGGTGAGTCCCACCACCAGTGCTGAGTCCATTCCTGACAATCTGCTCCTTTGTGCAAGGAGGAACAGGATGAGCACTGCCAGAGCCCTACATAATGACCTCCAGCAGGCCACTGGTGTGAATGTCTCTGACCAAACAATCGGAAACAGACTTCATGAGGGTGACCTGAGGGCCCGACGTCTTCTAGTGGGCCCTGTGCTCACTGCCCGGCACCATAGAGCTCGATTGGCATTTGCTATTGAATACCAGAATTAGCAGGTCTGCCACTGGCGCCCTGTGCTTTTCACAGATGAGATCAGGTTCACCATGTGACAGACGTGAAAGGGTCTGGAGAAGCCATGGAGAATGTTATGCTGCCTGTAACATTGTTCATTGTTTGGTGATGGGTCAGTGATGGTCTGGGGAGGCATATCCATGGAGGGACACACAGACCTCAACAGGCTAGACAATGGAACCCTGACTGCCATTAGGTATCGGGATAAAATCCTTGGACCCATTGTCAGACTTTACACTGGTACAGTGGGTCCTGGGTTCCTCCTGGTGCATGATAATGTCCAGCCTCGTGGCGAGTGTATGCAGGCAGTTCCTGGAGGATGAAGGAAGTGATAGCATTGAATGTCCCCAAGCTCACCTGACCTAAATTGAATAGAACACCTCTGGGATATCATGTCTCGGTCCATCCAACGCTGCCAGGTTGCACCTCAGACTGTCCAGGAGCTCAGTGATGCCCTGGTCCAGATATGGGGGCAAATACCTCAGGACACCATCCATCGCCTCACTAGGTGTATGCCCTGACGTTGTCAGGCGTGCATACAAACACCAGCAAACACAAATGCTCCTGCGCTTGGGGATGGACTCGATGCAGGCTACAACCACATTAAGAATGTCCTGGAACATGCACACCTTGCTGCCCTCAAATGGACCGGGGAAATCCAAATATACTGAATGAGGAAAGACAAAACAGAGGGCGCACAGGCCTAGTGCATTACCATAAAAAATGTTTACTAAAAAATAAAGTATGTGTTGTACTCACAAACGACAATATAGTCAAGGCACATTTCAAGGACTTGCCTCTTCCTCAGAGGGCTCTGAGGAAGAGGCAAGTTCTCGAAACGCGTCAGCCTTTTGGATGTCCAAACTCCCTATTGCGGACTGTTACTCAGCGCGGTGTTGACCCAGCTGTTCTTTATGATGTGCCTTGACTATATTGTCGTTTGTGAGTACAACACATACTTTATTTTTTATTAAACATTTTTTATGGTAATGCACTAGGCCTGTGCGCCCTCTGTTTTGTCTTTCCTCATTATGTGTGCATACAAACACGTGGGGGCCATGCAAACTACTGAGTACCATTTTGAGTTGCTGCAATGAAATTTCAGCAAAATGGACTAGCCTGCTGCATAATTTGTTCACTTTGATTTTCGGGTGTCTTTGAATTCAGTCCTCTGTAGGTTGATAATTTTAATTTCCATCAAATGATGGGGCATTCTTACGTTCCTAATACATTACCCAGTTCATATCAGTATAGATATCCAGCATGATATTTTTCCTTATTGAGATCTTATGTGTTTTCAAAGAGTTGCTTTAATTTTTTTGAGAGTGTATATGTTAATGTGCAGTTTATATAACTGGGTGGTTACATCAAGGTGGTGACTACAAGGGTATAGCACAGTGCATAATTCAAAGCCATCTTTAGGCTCGTATAGTAAGGCAATTGATTACATACTAAGACCTCTGTAGCGTCACTGTGACTTCTGGACACATGTCCATGTGAATTAGACAATGTTGTCTATTTTTAATGGTGTGGTGAAGGGTATTGTTTCTGTTTTTTTTTCAGTGTGTACTATATTTTGATACTTTGAATACTTTGTAAAATTGAAATAAACATTTTTGATGTTTTTACATTAAAAGTCACATGTGTCACTTTGAGCAACTTCTTTTATGAACAAAGTTGTCTATACCTTGGTCTGCTGTAAAAGTTTTCAATCCCAATAATACCTTACAGCAGAAGCAGCAGCAACAGAATACTAACTGCTGATAACTGTAGCACCCTCTAGTGTGCTACTAAAATAGTGTAGTGTATTGTAGGTAAAATCATTGTGTATGACTCATGGTAACTGTGTGAGTCTGTGATTGAGGTCAGATTATTGCAGGTCAGATAGATGACTTAACAGGCTGTGATTCTATCCTCCTCCTGACTCTGGAGGTCAGTAAGCAGGAAGGGATGGAGACCTAGTCTTCATGTGTATGGGAGTGTGGCCAATCCCAGATTTGGAGGCCCTGGTAGAGTGGTGGACTGGCCTAAATATATGGGAGAGTAAGGCTGACAGAGGAGTTGGGTGGAAGATGGAGTACTGAGGAGGATGTTGGTGCCTGGGAGGGGTCCCCTAGGTCTAGGGGGCTGGCCTCCACGCTGGGCTCAGTAGGATACATTCAGCAGTGAGGTGTGAATGGGATCAAGACCTGGCACAGCAGGGAGCAAAGACGACAGAGTGAGTACAGAACTCTCTGGGATCTACAAAACTGCGTAGCAAGCTTTTTTAAGGTCAGTGCTGGGCTCAATTCTTTATCCTTCTCCCAGAAGATTTTCTGAGCAGCCAGGAGGGCTGGTGGTTGCAGCAGGCTGTGGAACTGGGAGCAACTCTGCAGGGGAAGAGAAGATATCTCTGCATGTAGTTCTGAGAAGCTAAGCTGATTTTTGAGGGGCTGCTAGTTCCTCGTGTAACGACTGACGGCTTTCAAGAAAAGAACAGTCCAGGATCTGCCTTTGTACATTGGAAGGAAGTTGTCCCCCCCCCCCCCCCCCCGTTCATTGATTCAAGCCAACTGGACATACCATAATCCCTATTTTCCTATCCAAGTTATTTCCCATAATAACATAACAAAACCAAGCCCACGGACTGGTCACTGTCTCTTGCATGCAAGTTTGTGTGAGAAATACCTATTGCCTGGCTGTGCAGAGAGAGTTTAGGGATACCCACAACATAGCAGCTGTACTGTAAGGTAATCCCAGTGAGACGATTGGCGAATAGAAGTGCGCATAAACAAAAAAATGTGCGATCGCGCACACACACTCACACGTGCACACACACGGCTAGGTTTGGCGTCAGACGGACTATTTAAAAGGTGCCTCTGCCTTTGCTGAGTGCTGACTGGTCTTCAGCTGTCCCCCATTTCCTGCTCGTTCCTGTGTGATTTCCTTGTTGCTAACCTGGCTTATTCCTGACCTGACCCTTTTTTTTTTTTTCTTTTTTTTTTTTAATTTTAATATTTATTGGTTTTTCATGTTATTACAAAAAATTTCATAAAAAGAAACACAATACATTTAAGTAGTCTTAACATTTCTAT